CTTGTTGCTGCTAGGACTCAGCTTATTGACAACATAATCCTGTAGCTACGAATTGTAGTTATGGTCGCTGTGTTTTTCTAAGTAGAAAGTAGACTATGTGGTGTGACAGTGATCACTGTACTGTTAGAGAGGAGGGAACACAGACCTATGAGTCTCTGGGCCCAGGTAGAGGATGGATGACAGGTAGCTCCCTCTGACAACTCAGATTAGGTTTTGCCTAAATTTTTCCATCATGTGGGATGAATTATTTCCCTGGAAGCTCCTTGAAGCCCATAGGAAAAAGAATTTTGTAGTTCTTGCTCTATTAGTCCTGATATGCTGGGCAGGTCGGAATCCTAGGGATGGATGTAGATTAGACCCGAGTTGACACTCCTGCTATGGCTGCTCTTAAGTTACTCATTTAGTGTGTGTATGTGTGTGTGTGTGTGTGAGATGTATTTTGTGGTAGAAATAATAGTGCTTATGGGGTTTAACCAGTGAGAATACATACAGAAATGTTTTTTTAAAGACGTAAAATGACTAGACAAATGTGATGAATCGCCGCTCTCACCTGATGAATTTCACATGCTCCCATCACCATCAACTCTGTTTATCGCGTCCATCAATACTCACTACTGTTTCCTTTCTGTTCCTATGGATGAACTAGCATGTTCCTTCCTAATGCCTCCTGTTCCCTCTTCCTGAAGACATCACTTCAGCCCTTGTTCCTTCTCACTTCTACATCAGCAGCTTTTCCTTAATACTGGGTTAATAACATCAGCCTGCGAACATGCTGTCAGTTTGTCCTTCTTTATAAAACGCTCCCTTGACTTCATATCCTTCTCCAGATGCTCTCACTTCTTTTCTCTTTTTTTACAACAAAACTTAAGAGAATTGTCTACAACCAGTCTTCACTTCCTCTCCTCCCATTCTTTCTGAAATCTATTCCAGTCAGGCTATCACCGACCCTACTCCACTGTAACTGCTTTTTTCAGCCTCCTGAAGGATCCTCAAGTTGCCCAATTCTATGATCCATTAAAAGTCCTCATCGTACCTGACACGTTGGCACTATTTGATGGAGTGCAAGGTCTCCTTCTTTTATGAAACACCCTCTTTACTTGGCCTTGGGTCACTTCTCTCTGGGTTTTTCTCCTGTCTTGTTGGTCACCCTGCTTACTCTCGATTGCCTGACCTCTAAACATTGGAAAACCCAGGGCCCATTGCCCTGACCTCTTCCTTATCTGAGTCGCTCCCTTAGTGATCTCATCCACTTGCCTAACTTTAAGGAATTCCAAATATACCTGTATCTCTAGCTTAGACTTCTCCCTAAATGAAAGACTCATATATCCAGCCCCAAAGGCATTTTTGTGCTAATTAGTAAAAGTTACCTCAAGCACTTGACTGCCATCTTCTGGAAAAATTTCAGAATAGATGAACTCTTACCCAATGATAGGACTTTGAATTCTGTCTCTTTCAGCGCTGTGATCCTCAACCATCAGCAGCAGTTCTGTTCCTCCATGTGGGTGGTGTGTAGTCGGCATCACAAGCTTAATAGGTCCCCAGCTGAACTCCTGATTCCCAACCCCAGCTCCCCAACATCTTTTCTTTCAGTCTTTTCTATTTCAAAATTCTTCCATTGTTGAAGTCAAACTCATTTAAGTTATCCTTAACTCCCCCTTTTCTCCTATACCACTCCTTTAATCCATCAGCAAATCCTGTTGGTTTTTTCTTCAAAATACATTAAAATGAAACCATTTCTCACCTCTGCTCCCACCCAGGTCCAAGTCTCATCATCTCCCTTTTATTTTTCTAGTAGCTTCTTCTCTTGTGCCTCTGGTCTGTTCTCAGCACAGGTATTTGTTTAAAACCTAGGTCATAGGGTAGGGAGTAGAGCTCAGTGGTAGAGTAAACACAAGGTCCTGGGTTTAATCCCCAGGACCTCCGTTAAAATTAGCAAATAAATCTAATTACCCTATTCCCCTCCCCTCCTCAAAACCCCCCAAAATGTAGGTCACATCATGTTTTTTCTCTACCGGTAACCCTTCTGTACCACAGCTCTGACCTCATCTCCTACCCCTCCTGCCCTGTGCGCTGTGCTCCAGGCACGTTGGCCTCCTTGCTCTTCCTCCAATAACGCCAAGCATAGTTCTGCTTCAAGCACTCTGCTGGGATCCTCTGAGGGAAAGCATGACTTGTTCCTTTCCTTTCTTGAGTCTTTGCTCAGATGTCACTTTATCATATCAGGGAAGCCTTCCTCAACCAAAGCATTTAACAAAGCAACCCCCTCCCCCAACATTTAATCTCCCCTTTACTCTTCAGTTTTCTCGATAGCACTTACCATCTGACACACACATTGTTTATTGTTTCATCTCACAAGAACTTAAGCTTCCTGATTCTAGAGACTAGTTCTTTCCCTCTACTCTGTCCTCAATTTCTAAAACAGTGCCTGACAAATAGTAGGACCTCAATAAATATTAGTTAAATAAATAAATGTGTACTGACATCCCTAAATCTCTCTGTAGGACCCTAGACTTAAAAATACACAAAGGTTAGAGATAGTCCTGCACAATTACAGTCTCTCAATTCCAAGAGAAAAGCATTTTCAGGAATCAAGGAATAAATTTAAATCTAAGTTGAAAACTGCATTGATTTGACATCGTTCTGGAAGGGCGTTAGTTTCCTCTGCTGAGAAAGCAAGTAGGCGCCATCTAGTGGCAATAAGAGAAGTAAACATGTGTTACTTTAAATTACTGATTAGTAACAGAATTGAAAACGTAGTACGTGATCCAGAAGCTTATTAATGCTACGAAAGTAATAATTACGATAGCAAAAAGTTCTCAAGTTTGCATTTTCCACATAATATATTGAATTGAAAAAATATTGTTGTTTCTTCTAAATTATTTATGACTTATTTTTACTAATATTTGTTTGTTTTCTGGGATCTGACATTCTTTGTTCCTCTTTATTTTTCTTAATGTTTTATCACCTCCTTATCTTTAAATACTCTTATAAGGTACTGGCCTAGCCACTGAGTTGGTAAATAAAATAAATCCTCTATCTTCTAAGAATTTATATTGTAAAAACAGCACCTATGAGGGTAAACATGTGAAAGAAAATGCCAAATGATGCAGTGATCTCAGGCCAGACTTCTAAGGCTGTTGAAGCTTAACTGTTGTGTATACTTCCACCGTTGAGGCATGAGCTTTTGGGAGTCTTAACTTGCTGTTTTTCAGAATGTGGCTCATGTTATTATATGGAGAAACTAAAATAGAAAAACAGTCATGTTCACCTATGTTGACAGGAAAGACAGAAATTAAGTCAAGTCTCGACTGTCATTCTAGCATTCAAAATGTTAAGTTATTACAGTTCTTTGGCAAAGTAAAGCAGAAGCTCTTTGGTCCACTTCAGGAGCCCATGACCTTTCCAGTCTGAGTAGCTAAGGTGGGGCTGGGGTGTCTGTGTCTTCCACCAGCAGGCCTGAGCCACAATCAGACAAAACTAGGAAAGGTGGTGAGAGAAGCGCAGGAGGATGAGGAACTCTGTGTCCCGATGCTCAGATTAGTCTGGCCTCTTCATGTGGAAGAGGACACTGTCTGAGTAGCTCCGGGGGCAAAAGTTGGACCAAGGAAGTATGATTAGAAAACAAATTTCATACAAACATTAAGAAACATTTTCCAATAAGAGATTTTTTCCGCCCTAAAGAGATCAAAGCATCAGTTCCCCATTGGTGGGTAGATTCAAGCAGAAGCTGGATAATAACCTGCCAGGGGGTTTTTGAAGCTATTGAGATTCTCTGATTGCCTGAAAGGCCTTGCTTTCTCTGTACACACCAGAACCCTCCCCACTCTTCTGTACACAGTTCATACCCCATTTCCTTTTTCAGGCAGTGCTCCTTGAAGCCACCTTTCCTACCTCTGTCTTTCCTTTCACATTAAAGGTAGGTCAACACCTTTTTCATGCTGCCTGTGTTAACTGATGCTAAGCTACCTGAAGACAGGGGGCCAAAACTTGCAGTTGTCTTCCTATTGGCCTTGCCACGTAGTGGGTGAAGGTTGTGACTGGGGTAGGGAATGGTTGGAAGACTACCACTAATTGTCTCAGCTGGTATCTGAGTCCAGGATACTAGCCTTAGTCTAAGTTTGGTGGAGCAATTCTTCAGCTAGATGTTAGAGAAGCTAAAGTATTTAAGACTTGTTCTCTTGTTAAAATTATGAATTTTTTTAGGTCTTAATAGTATCAGCTTCCTTTTTCAAGTTCTGTTGTTTATCATCTACGTGATATCTCTGGAAGCAGATATAAAAATTGATAGTACAACAGTTTCAGGATGTTATTAAAATTAAAAAAAATGATTTTTCTGTTATCTATATAGTTATTTTAGAGTTTTTCCTTCTGCCAACAGACACTGATTTTTTTTTTTAGATTGCAGGTAGTTTCTTTGATATAATTCTTTTTTTTCTTTAAAGTATCTTTTTAATTACAGAAAATTGGTGTGGTATTTTGGATAGTAGATTCTAAAGGTAAAACAGTTCATGTATTATTTCTTTTTAAAGAATTAAGCAAAATTTATTTCTCAATCTTCTTGCCTTCTGAAGCTGTATTTATATAACTTGACATTCCATCATGATAAAGTGATGGCATTGAAAAAGGACATGTTAATAGGATTAGTAAGTAGGCTTTTTGTGTGTCGTAGACCTAATTTCTTTGACAATTGGCTGCTGTTATTTGTTTTATTGTTTGGGGAGCCAAAATTCTCTTTATTTACTAGGCTAGATGGTTTAAGGATTGCTTATAATACTTAATTGCTTGTCTGAAAATGAGCAAATTTTGCATCCTTAGCATTTGTACTATGTTTAATATTTCTGAAGTATTACCTGTACTTCTTAGCAACCACTGTGTTCTCTCATTGTGACGGCTAAAGAGACAGTATTGGATACTTCGACTTGTAATTAAAGAAGCATTGTTTCTCTATGATTATTTCAAGAGTACATAAATTTTAGATTGTATTAATTTGTCTTTTGTAGAATATGCTGAATTTCTACATTGCAAAGGGAAAAAATTTACAGATTTTGATGAAGTTCGCCATGAGATTGAAGCAGAAACAGATCGAGTAACTGGAATGAATAAAGGCATTTCCTCCATACCCATTAATTTACGAGTCTATTCCCCACATGGTAAGTAAAATAACAAAATTCCAAATTCTTGTCTTCAAAAATTTTTACTATATTAATTAACATGCAGTGTTTGTATAAAAGATGATTTGGTCTCTCAAAAATTAGCAGGTTTCTAGGATTGTGCTTAGATACATTGGTAAATGGTATGATCCAAAGAGCTCATAGATTTATTTATGGGGAAGCAGGAGCAGATGACTTTTAAAAGACAATTGGAAAAAAAAAGAATTAAGTCATTTAAAAGAGTTTTCTTTATTTTAAACTTTTAGAATCAAAGAGATATGCCTGAGAATTTCCATTTTTAATATCTTCAGTCTTTGCAGAAGTCTTAGAGATGCATGGTGGTGTAGTTTTGTCTTCCCTAATGAATTTTTCTACAGTCTGATATATTCCTGTTTAGTCTTTTCTTGAGGAATCAACTGTGATTTTTTCACCCCGGCTGTCAGCAGAAATTTATAAATTAGGTAACAATGCATGGTGTGTGATACAGAGCAGCCTCCATGCTGACTAAAGTTGTAGTGGGGCAGGTTGTACTCTCTAATCTTCTCCCTAGGTCTGTTGTTTTTAAAACAGGACATGAATGACATAAGCTTAATTATGATTCCCCAAAAGAACTTGGTGCCAACAATCCTGTGTGCAGAGGAAACAGCTGCCAGGTTGGGGCTGGAGTCACTGACTCAGGGATAATTTTCTGCCCTCCCAAATGCTGCTCCAGGAGTCTGACTGTACATAGCCCGCATACTAACCTCAGGGCACCTCCAAAGACTGGTGGGTTTCCAACAGGCTAAATGGCTAACCCTCTACCAATAATATGTGGTGCTTTTAAAGGGAAGGAGAAATCTTACCCTGAGAATCTTTACATCATTCATAGGCAGTGTACAAGACTGCCAGACAACATATTCACTTCTTGTTCAGTGTTTGAATTACAGCCCCCTAGTTCCAGATGTGATGGCTCTCTGAGGAAACTATTAGGCATGCAAACCAGTGCCTCTTCAACTATGTTAAAACGATCATTTGGCTTAGCATAAACATATCATAAATACAGAGAAAACCTGCAAAGCCATTTTGAATTCTTTGCTTTTTATTGTGTGCACATCAGTTGGAGTTTAGATACACAATATGTCAAACTCAGCTTGTTTTATTTCTACTAAAGTGACAGATAATTCTGCATTGTTGATGTCTGTCAGCACTGAGGATGTATGTAAGACTTTTTTTTCTCCCTTTCCACACAGTGTTAAATCTAACCCTTATTGACCTGCCTGGAATTACTAAAGTGCCAGTGGGAGATCAGCCACCAGATATTGAGTATCAAATCAGAGAAATGATTATGCAGTTCATCACGAGGGAGAACTGTCTTATTTTGGCTGTCACCCCAGCCAACACTGATCTTGCAAACTCAGATGCACTGAAGCTAGCTAAAGAAGTTGATCCTCAAGGTGAGTGTGTGGCCCTTGAGATGAAAGGGAATTCGTTTAAAATGTCAAGAGTTTGGGTACATTTCAAGGTAACACATTCTCATAACTTGATTTCACTGCTAATTAAATTAGCCAATATTAATATTGTCCAATCTTTTGTATATGAGATGCCAAAAGAGAAATAACTGGGGAATACAGTCTAAACCTATGTAAGTGTAAGATTAACTGACATCTAAGAAAATAGACATTTCTAATCGTCATGAACTACTTATTTTAAAAGCTGGTAAAACAACTGCCTGGTACAGAATTCAGACAGTCTTTTTAGTTATTATGAGTACTCTGAATATACTGCCAATAAAAAGTCTTTCTCGTTTTTATTTTGTTTCCTTAAAATAGGAAGCTCTTTTAACGTATGTAAGATATTATTTAGTTTGTAATTATTTGACTTAAATCTCTGCTTTCATAATACATATTTATCTGTTTTTGGCATTCCAGAATCCAAAAAAGTCCCTTATTTATGCTGATATTTTGATTTTTTTTCCTTCTTTGAGCTGAGTTATAACCATTTATCATCAGGGACCCCAATGATGGATCTTTGTATGTGTCTGTTTGAAGAAATTATAGAAGGGCACTTGTGATGTGTCCTTTCAAAATGGAGATGCATTGTCTACAGTTTTAGGAAATTTTTTCTTTTTTACTTTCTCCTGCTGTATTTTTATTTTATTTTATTTTATTTTATTTTATTTTATTTTATTGAGTTATAGTCAGTTTACAATGTGGTATCAATTTCTGGTGTAGAGCACAGTTTTTCAGTCATACGTGAATATACATATATTCATTTTCACGTTCTTTTTCACCATGAGCTACTGCAAGATCTTATATATATTTCCCTGTGCTATACAGTATAAACTTACGTATTTGTTCTATATATACCTGTCAGTATCTACAAATTTTGAACTCCCAGTCTGTCCCTTCTCACCCCTCTCCCCCCTGGCAACCACAAGTTAGTATTCTATGTCTGTAAGTCTGTTTCTATTTTATATTTAAGTTCATTTATCTTCTTCTTCTTTTTTTTTAGATTCCACACATGAATGATATCATATGGTATTTTTCTTTCTCTTTCTGGCTTACTTCGCTTAGAATGACATTCTCCAGGGACATCCATGTTGCTGCAAATGGCATTATATTGCCATTTTTAATGGCTGAATAGTATTCCATTGTATAAATATGCGACAACTTCTTTATCCAGTATCTGTCGATGGACATTTACGCTGTTTCCATGACTTGGTTATTGTAAATAGTGCTGCTATGAACATTGGGGTGCTGGTTTCTTTTTGAATTAGGGTTCCTTCTGAATATATGCCCAGGAATGGGATTACTGGATCATATGTTAAGTCTATTTCTAGTCTTTTGAGGAATCTCCATACCGTTTTCCACAATGGTTGCACCAAACTGCATTCCCACCAGCAGGGTAGGAGGGTTCTGTTTTCTCCACAACCTCTCCAGCATTTATCATTCATGGATTTTTGAATGATGGCCATTCTGACTGGTGTGAGGTGATACCTCATTGTAGTTTTGATTTGCATTTCTCTGATAATTAGTAATATTGAGCACTTTTTCATGTGCCTATTGATCATTCGTATGTCTTCATTGGAGAATTGCTTGTTTTAGGCCTTCTGCCCATTTTTGGATTGGGTTGTTTGTTTTTTTCTTACTAAGACATATGAGCTGCTTATATATTCTGGAGATCGTCTTTGTCAGTTTCATCTTTTGCAAAAATTTTCTCCCATTCTGTAGGTTGTCGTTTTGTTTTGCTTATGGTTTCCTTTGCTGTGCAGAAGCTTGTAAGTTTCATTAGGTCCCATTTGTTTATTGCTTTTATTTCTATTTCTTGGGTAGACTGCCCTAGAAGAATGTTTCTGAGATGTATGTGAGATAATGTCTTGCCTCTGTTTTCTTCTAGGAGGTTTATTGTATCTTGTCTTATGTTTAAGTCTTTGATCCATTTTGAGTTTATTTCTGTGTATGGTGTGAGGGAGTGTTCTAGCTTCATTGCTTTACATGCTGCTGTCCAGTTTTCCCAACATCATTTGCTGAAGAGACTGTCCTTATTCCATTGTATGTTATTGCCTCCTTTGTCAAGATTAATTGACCAAAATTTTGTGGGTTCATTTCTGGGCTCCCTATTCTGTTCCTTTGGTCCATATGTCTGTTTTTGTACCAGTACCATGCTGTTTTGATTACTGTAGCTCTGTAGTATTGTCTGACGTCTGGCAGAGTTATTATTCCAGCCTCATTCTTTTTCTTCAGTAATGCTTTGGCAACGATATAAATTAATGAGGCCTGTTAACACATAAAATTGCAATAGAATTATTTGAATATTTTAATGATGTATGATAAAAATAAAAATAATTTCAGACTCACCTGCAAATTGCTAGGTTAACTGTAGGTGAAAGAAGATCTTAGCTGGGTTGGGGCTGGGATAGGGTAGAAGGAGGGTTGTCCTTAGCTTGGCTTGAAGTGTTTAAGGCATTGTGCCAGCTGCTGCTTATAGATTTATATTAAGAGGAGGAGACTAGCACACTTACCATGGATTACTAAGATTCTCACCATGGAAGCTGCATTGATTCCTCTAAGGAACACTTCCTCCAGCTATTTGGAAGTTCTACTCAAGTACATTAAGAATGCAATCATTGCCTTAGTTCATTAATTTGTTGTTTAACACCCATTCATCAGGCAAAGTGTATGTGGTCAATAATAATTCTATGTGCTGGACCACCTAGTAGAATGCTAGACTAAATAGATGCTCAGTATATATTTCTGATTATTTTCATGACTCTCCACTACTTTAAAAAATAAGCTGTTTATTTTCATGGCATCTTCTCTTGTGTATGAGATCATAGAAGTCCCCAGAAAAAGATATTACAGAGGATCTGCTTTGTGAAATGAACATTTTCATTATGGGGATGCAGTTTGGGTCTTAGCATATATTCAAGTGAAATGGGTTGTGTAATAACACTGTGTGTCATATGTTATACCCACAAGAATCCTGTCAGGTAGGTGACATTGCCGCCTTTTTATATAAGACAATTTTACTCTTTTCTTTCAACTTGGATCCCTTTTATTTCTTTTTCCTGTCTAATTGCTATGGCTAGGGCTTCTAATACTATGTTGAATAAAAGTGATGAGAGTGGGCATCTTTGTCTAGTTCTGGATTTTAGTGGAAAGGCTTTCAACTTTTCACTGTTAAGTATTATGCTGGCTGGAGGTTTGTCATAAATAGCTTTTATAATATTGAGATATGTTCCCTCTATACCCACTTTGGTAAGAGGTTTTTTTTTTTTATCATAAATGGGTGTTGAGTTTTATCAAATACTTTTTCTGCGTCTATTGAGATGACCATGTGATGTTTGTCCTTTCTTTTGTTGATGTGATGTATCACAATAATTGATTTGCATATATTGAACCATCCTTTTGTCCCTGGGATGAATTCAACTTGATTGTAGTGTATATTTTTTATGTGTTGGATTCTGTTTACTAATATTTTGTCGATTTGTTTTGACTTCCTAAGGGTTTTTTTGAGCTTATTTTTAATATGAGTGAGACTCTTAAAAATCAGTTTTTTTCCCCCAAATGGAGAAGTTGCCAGGAACAGAGGCTAAAATAAAAGCATTTGTGGTTTTTGAAAAAGTTGTTATATATCAGTTCTGTTCAATGAATGATTCTTTTAAATTAAACATCTACTATGTTTTAGGCTTGAACAAAAAGAAAGCAAGGACCGCAGATACGCACGACCTTAACAATCCTGTGTGGTCAGAACTTTGATAGGAGGTGTACAGAATATATCATGATATTATATTCTGAAGTCTCAGAATTATAGATGCACATTTCAAATTCATGTTGCTGTTTTGAATTTGTACTTGAATTTTAAGAGTTTCATGCATATACAATTCAAGTAAGTTTGTTAAATCTTACGTTAGAAATCAGCCTCTTTGCAAAGAGAGTAGGTCATCTGAAGATTAATAAATAGGTTTATCCAAGTGTAGAGAAGAACTTCCATTTGAGCTTTAAAAATGTATATTGAATATTAGAATTATACATAAGATTATATCTACATTTGTGTATAATGTATAAATCATTATATCTAGATGTTTATATAACATAAAAAAGTATGTGAAATCTTAGTATTGGAAATATGACAACAAAAAATTCATCTCATAGGTTTATAAAAAGTTTTTTTTACAAAAGTGTGTACTTTTTTTTTTTTTGGTGGGGGAAGGTAATTTTATTTATTTTTAGAGGAGGTACCGGGGATTGAACCCAGGACCTTGTGCATGCTAAGCACGTGCTCTACCACTGAGCTATACCCTCCCCCACAGAAGTGTGTACTTCTTGATATGCTGTTTTTATTGGAAAAAATAAAATAAACTTATTATGGAATTCACTGTGAAAGAGAGAAAGCGAATAGATTTAGGACTTGAATATCAATGTATATAAGTATGTATAACTTTACTTCTTTTTTAGAAATAAGAAAAAAGAGAAAAATATGGAGGCACTGGCACTTGGATTTTCATCAAGATTTTATCAGTATGAAAGGCCACTAAGACGTGGATTACTAAAACTGACATGTTCATTCCTTTTGCCACTAGGGGTCACTGTAAAGACATTACATGAACAAGACTAAAATTTCTCTTTGTGGTGTTTGAATGTGGAAAAGAACACTATGAGAAAGAGTGAAAAATATGTAAGAAAAATAAAACAAAAGTATTCTTTCTTTTCCTTAATTTAATTACACATTAGTGATATGAATCTTATAAGAATTCTCTTTATATTGATATATAGAGAAGTGTTGCATTGCTATTCAAGGTGGCGAATTTAATTAAAGTGAGTTTGGCCTTAGAGAATAATTGTGTTCTCATGTCTTTCTTGTTTCAAAAACAAGACATTTAAAACACAAGTAAAACCTATGCAATTTGATATGAATTATGATGTGACCATGAGCTTCTAACATTCCCATGGTA